CTTTTACTTTGTACTTAAGTACTTTAAAATGCATGTACTTCTGAATACTTAAGTATTTTCAAAAGTAAGTACTTCAGTACTTTTACTTGAGTAGATTTTTGACTGAGTAACTTTTACTTGTAGTGGAGTAGATTTGACCATGAGTATCAATACTTTTACTCAAGTACTAGAGTTGAGTACTTTGTCCACCACTGGCCGGGATGAGAATCAGTGCCTCCAAATCTGAGACCACGGTCTTTAGCCAGAAATGGGTAGGTTGCCTTCTCCGGTTAGGGGAGGAGGTCCTCCCCCAAGTGGAGGAGTTTGAGTATCTCGGGGTCTCGTTCACGAATGAGGGAAGAATGGAGCGGGAGCTCCACAGGTGGATTGGTGCTGCATCTGCAGTGATGCGGGCGCTGTACTGGTCTGTCGTGGTGAAGTGAGAGCTGAGCCAGAAGGCAAAGCTCTCGATTTACCAGTCGGTCTACACTCCTAGTCATGTTTGGGCTTTTAAAAAATTATATTGTATAAATTTGATCCCCTACCAACCATTAAGTGGTCTGGCTCCTACAGACCAGTTAGACGCTCCTAATCAACTATTTACCTGCATTAAAGTTCTGTTCATTTATCATTAAAGACAGCTGTTTAAAATTGTCACCTGTATAAAAGACTCCTATCCACAGACTCTAACCTCTACAACATGGGAAAGACCAAAGAGCTGTCTAAGGATGTCAGGGACAAGATCAAATACCCACAGAAGGCTGGAATGAGCTACAAAACCATAAATAAGACGCTGGGTGAGAAGGAGACAACTGTTGGTTCAATAGTAAGAAAATGGAAGAAATACAAAATGACTATCAATCTACATCTATCTGGGGCTCCATGCAAAATCTCACCTCATGGGGTATCCTTGATCATGAAGAAGGTGAGATCATCCTAGAGCTACACAGAGTAAACTTCATGATCTCAAGGCAGCTAGGACCACAGTCACCAAGAAAACCATTGGTAACACATGACAACATAATGAATTAAAATCCTGCACTGCCTGCAAACTCCCCCTGCTCAGGAAGGCACATGTGCAGGCCTGTCTGAAGTTTGTTAATGAACCCCTCGATGATTCTGACAGTGATTGGGAGAAAGTGCTGTGGTCAGATGAGATAAAAATTAGGCTCTTTGGCATTAACTTAACTCAACATGTTTGGAGGAAGGGAAATGCTGACTATGACCCGAACACTGTCCCCACTGTCAAGCATAGAGGTGGCAACATTATGTTTTTGGGGTGCTTCTCTGCTAAGGGCACAGGACTACTTCACTGCATAAATGAGAGAATGGATGGAGCCATAAAATCCTGAGCAACAACTTCCTTCCCTCCACTAGGATGTGTCATGGATGGGTCTTCCAGCACTACAATGACCCAAAACATACAGCTAAGGCAACAAAGAAGTGGTTCAAAAAGAAGCACATTAAGGTCATGGAGTGGCCTCGCCAGTCTCCAAACCTTAATCCCATTGAAAACCTACAGAGGGAGCTGAAACTCCGAGCTGCCAAGTGGCAGCCTCAAAATCTTAATGATTGAGAAATGATCTGCACAGAGGAGTGAACCAAATTTCCTCCTGACGTGTGCAAACCTCATCAACTGTAAAAAAAAAAAAGTCTGACTGCTGTGCTTGCCAACAAGGGTTTTGCCACCATGTATTAAGTCTTGATTGCCAGAGGAATCAAATACTTAGTTCTCTTTGCAAAATGTAAATTAATTTAAATAATTTATACAATGTGATTTTCTAAATGTTTTTAATATTCTATCTCTCTGTTAAAATTAACATACCCTTAAAATTATAGACTATTCCTGTCTTTGTAAGTGGACAAACTTGCAAAATCAGCAAGGGATCAAATACTTATTTCCCCCACCGACTCCATAGCTCCTAATTTCAAGCTCGAGTCCTCTGGAGCTAATGACACATAAATATACTGTACCCACTGTACACATACATATCCATTATCTCATGAGCTAACACCATGTATTAGTAATTTTATTAGTGTTAGCTTGGGGGGCTACATCGACATATTGGTAATATGAGGTGTTAGCTCGTGAACTACCGGTAATTTCCTAAATGTGACATTGATCACATTTGATTGTTTCAACTCATATATTGTGTAGAACAGAAACTAAAAATATACCTTTATTGTCACACAGTTTTTTTTAGCCTGGACTCTGTTTCAGTCTCAACCAGAACCCATCAACATCATCCCCAGAGTGCATTTTCTCAGTAAAGACATAGTTAAGTGAAAATGAAATATATATATATA